GCTACTTGTGTGTGTGCGTGCGCGCGCTATGTGTGTGTGTGTGTGTGTGTGTGTGTGTGTGTGTGTGTGAGCGCGCGCTTTGTGTGTGTCTATCTTTAATTTTGCTCATTTATTTTGTAGCATCATCTCTCTCATCGCCTTCATGTCTTCAGAATGATTCTCCTACAGTCAGAATGTCATTTTCCCATTTTTTTTCCTCTTTACTTTACCCCTATTACCATCAGTCTTTCCGTCTAATGATCACATTCTATGTACATATCCGCAGTGCCCATGCATTTGTATAGTTACGAAATTCGTTTCTGTTCAACTCCTTTAAAGAAATAGAAATAACAGGTAAGCTTATTCATGTGTGTTTGTCCGCAGCCACCATGAAGGTGTACCACGACTTCTTCGTGTACAAGGGCGGCGTCTACCAGCAGACGGCGCAGGGCGCGGGCGAGCGCGCGGGCTACCACTCCGTGCGCATCCTGGGCTGGGGAGAGGAGAACACTCGCGCTGGCCCACTCAAATACTGGGTACGAAGCGGCAACCGGGCTTGCACAGTGACGGGGTCTTACACACGAATTCAGCCCCTGTCTGGAGGAGAGTTCTAGCGACTCATCGGCAGTTTTCCGTGGTTTCTCCGATCAGAACCCTATCGAACAGGCTACGGATCGCGTGAGATATTTTCTTCCTCTTCCGCGCCCTGACCTCACCCCTTACACACAAAATTCTTACACAGCGTAAAGCACCTTCGCGTATAACACTTTTGGTCCTCTGCGCATGCGTCAACTCAAACTCCAAGTTAGAGGGCCCAGCTAATCCCCAGGTACTAGCGGGTGACTTACATGAATGTGCTAATATATCACTCTGTCACGTTATAAGGAATTTGTCCCGGTTTAGGATGAATGGCATGAGATTGAACTGGGCATCCTGAATGCGAAGTCAGCACGCTATACCCTGAACCACTTCGCTCGGTATCTTGAGAATAAAGATTGCAAAAAGTCATGCATATTTTTCGAAGGTTCAACACTTTAATTTGTAAGTAGTACTATTTACATTAGATAAAAAATCAAACTGCATAAATTACATTTATTTTCGAACAAACATCCCCCAAGTGTTAATGAAACAAAATCTCAAAATTACGAAGGTTTTTAATGAAAATGATTTCTGACTGTTAAATTTAGCAGCTAAACGCTTGAAGCCCTGTCAGGTAGCTTTAAATAGATAATAAAGTTTTAGTTCACACGCACAAAGTTAAATTCACACAATACCCGGAAAGTCTGTGAAAGTCTTTGTAATTTGAATGTTTTGTGATGTTTCATTAACAGTGAGGCAATATTTGCATTTTTAAATAAATCTAATTTTTGCTACTCAACGTTTTTCAGTTATAAATACTACTTAAAAATGAAAATATTCAACATTTTAAAAATACTCATAGTTCTTTCCATTTCCTACTCTTAAGATAGTGACTCTTCGCATTCTGGTTGCTGATAACCCCAAACCTAAGGTGATTTTATCAGAACCGTCGACGCCAAGAAAGAAATAGTGAATTTACTTACAATTAAAAACATTCTCAAACTAATTACAGATCCGTAATTTTAGATGGAAAAAATGTCTATATAATGTATTTTGTTTCGCCCTCACAACCTTCAATGGAAACGAGTTAAAACAGCCAATTTCTTAATAGTTGTTTACGAAATAAAACAATGCGAGATTAAAACCTTCTGGAACTAGATCAAGTCAAGTTTGATTACCAATTGAGTATTGTAATAAGGTATTACGATACAAATAACGTAAGTTTTCTGCGTTACGCAACTCTTCTCTTATTGGAAACTGATCGCAGCGTCGTAAAGTTTGACTTAAAACAATCTAAGTGGACACAAATATATTATAAGATATTAAGCCTTCAAAAATACTAAACTGAATAATTCTCGTCGCTCTTTCAGCTGGTGGCCAATTCGTGGGGCGAACAGTGGGGCGAGCAAGGCCTCTTCCGCATCAGGCGCGGCTCCAACGAGTGCGAGATCGAAGACTTCGTGCTGGCGTCCTGGGCGGACACCGTCATGCCCCCGGTGGAGAAAATGAAGCACAACGGAAACGCTCACAGCAACGTCATCTGATCTCCCTGGCCGACCTACCCGCATCACCGAGTCTGTGATCTTCACAAACGCACGAAATCCTAGTGCCTATGGCGGCGTATCGTATGAAGACGATCAATGTAATCTTCAGCACTGCCATTATTCATCTGCATTTTAAAAAACTCTACTTGAAAGCGCTTGAGGACGAAAAATCTGGTGTGCTTCGATTTTTATATAACACTCGCGAGACCACAACGATGTGGAATATTTTTTCAAATGTTGAAGTGTTCATTAAATTATAAGATGAAGACACATTAAAGCGGCGTTCCTGACTACAAAGTGCTCTTGTGTGTTCATACGGCTTATGTCTTGTACGAACAGTAAAGACGTGAATAACAGAACTGATGAAGTGATGCCTTTTTGGTTTACGAAGGACTTCTAGAAATTAAGCTCAAATTATTTATGTCGCTGTAAGTGTTGCTTTCTTTAAGTGTCAAGTATATACTCAGCACGTGTGTATCTTAGTTGGTAGATCTCATATGTTTTCATGACTTACTCAAATTTAATTTTAATAATTAATTATAAGGCAATTACAACTTTGTAAAAATTTATCTAAATTTCAAATGGCAGTATTACTTGACTATTGTAATATTAATAACCGAAAGTTTTGCTTTGTGGAATCTAACAAAGAACAGCATGGAAATAAGATTAAGTTCCTTATAAAGTGATTTTTGTATTATAAAGTTAAGGAAAGTACTTTTACAGTGAATAATTATATTGTAAATAGTTAAATATTATTCTCCACAATTATATGTTAAGTTTTGTAATATTAATGCGTATAAAGCTAATAAAATTTCCATTATTACTACGTTTTTAATGCATTTTCCCTTCATCCCAAACGCACATGTTTACCACTAGGATGATGAAATAGGTTAATACCATAAAGAGAGTAAATGTCAACTGAGAGTAGTTTCTATCATCAATAGACACCGTCAAGAGATGATTACAGTATTTAAAAAGAATTTAGACGAGGAAAAATGGCACAATACCCAAAAAAGGATATTACGTTGCACATATTTTATCTGTTTAAAGAAACAAATAAATGATCTCTCGTAAGTTCTCATAGAGAGAGGAAAGTGATCGAGCAAAGAATTCTGCAGATGGAATTATGTTCAATCGCTGATCGCCGTGTTTCGCAGCCGCCGATGTGTTACCGTAGCTCAAGCCTAAATAGGACGTACTTTCCAGTCACTGCACGCTCACCCTACAGAAGGCACACCAACATACGTAGTATAGAGAAGGTTATGTAATGTTGCAGCGAAAAATATAAATTTTTTGAGACAGTGAAATTGTACAGTGACTCCGATGTCGAAAAAGGGATAGTTCTAGTCCCAATATGTTCCAAATTTGTTCTAAAGAACTACACGTTATGTGGTCAGAAATAGTTTTGTGGGTCCTTGATACCAATAAATCCGTTAACAGCAAAACGTCCGACCGTGAACGTCACTAGCGCCTAAACCATACGTACGATTTTTTCCAATATGTACATTCCTCAGTCGATCTGGCTACACTTGAGGTGCTGAGATTTGGAAAACTTTCTTTAACTTTTGGGGGTATTTTACATGAAGCCCCCCAGACCTTTTAAACATTTTCTCAAAAACTGCTTCAAATGTTTTCTTTAAATTTCTTGTAAGAATATAGTAAAATCCACTGATAAAAGTGGCGTAGGTCCGATTTTCACGGTCAACTCGTTTCACGGTCAATTTTCGAAAACTGCAAAAGTTTGAATTATTTTCAATGTCTTCCTATAACTATAAAAATGAATGCGAGATTTTTCTTTTCAGTAAAATTTGTTCTCATTATTTCAATAAGATCATATACATTTTTTAAAAAGTAGTTTGCGTGCAATATGTGCAATTTAAAAAAATAAAAACTAGAATTTCTCAAAAATGACTTTTTTCTTTAAACTATTGGTAGGGATAGTGCTAAATGTACGCTATGAGATGACAAACATTTAGCTCAATTCTCTTTTTTTTTCGAAAATTACAATATTTTTTTTACTTATATCTACGTCGTCATTTTATTCATTAGCGGCGATTTTTTTAACTATTGCATTTGCGTCTCTTGAACTCTGTCTCAAAAACTCAAATTTCAACTTTTGTATGAAAACGAGCTCAAATTTCCGCCATTTTCAGAAACCTTCAAACGCCGTGTTCTTAAAAAACGCCTCCACACATTTTCTTCAAAGTTTTTGAACGGATTGTGCTAATTCCAATATTGAAGTTGACATAAAATGAAATTTTCTGTATTCTTTCGTTTGTTTTTAAAATACAAATTTTTAATCTCTCACGGCGTTAATAAGCAAATTTTCAGCGATCTGTATAAATTATAGAACTTGTGAGTGGAAGTGCTTTAAATGTCTTTAAATAAAGTTTATCGAAAACTCCAACAAATTCTGTGGAAAAGAGCTTGAAATTTCGCATTTACTATAACGCTTACACGTAATTTTTTTTAAAACGACTCTAAATTTTTCAATGAAAATTTCTATTTAGGATGAGGTTTTACTGTTCTTTCATATTCTTATAGTAATTTTTCAGTTCTGCCACTCGAAAACAGGAAAATTCAATTTTTTTTAAAATTTACTTTGGTGACGTTAGATGGCATCCGGCAAGAGTATGTGACAAATCAGAATAGCTAGCCGAGGCAAAAGATAATATACAACAAATACAAGAAAGTATGTGTCATTCAGTAGCACCACTAGTAGTTAATGTTTCATGGCTTACTGAATATACCTTGACCACGTCTGTGTTATGGTGTCTTAATCATACAATTTTGATTAATTGCATGCGTGGTATTAACAGAGATAAACAACGATATTTCATGAAATTAATGAGCATATTACGTTAACTAAACGAAAAAATATTTTTAAACAATTATTTTTTTCAAAAACGGATCCATTTTTCTTTAAATATTCCTCCCGTATGTATCCAAAGACGATAAAAAATGGTGCTATTAACTTCATTTTTTTATCAAAGACTCACAGAACATTCATACTGACTACACAACGTGTTTGAGAAAGTAATTCGCTGTATATAAGAACAAGATTTATACACTTTTTCTTTACCAGGCCCCAGCAATAAAAAAAAATTGTCAAAAATTCACCGTTTTTCGACGCATGGTTACTTACCTTTCTTCTCCAGTAGTAAGCAAGAGAAAGTAGAATGGAAAAGTTTGTTTAGGGAATCAATAAAATGCTAACCTTTGAGTTTGAAATGTAAACTTTTTAGTTTTTATTATTATATTACTTCATGACAATAATTTAATATTTGTTAAATGAATTCAAGATTTAATGCTAATTGCTGCTAATTTAATGCTAAACACTACAAATATTCTTTGTCTACATGTCCAGTAAATTTATAAATAAATTAAATGCTAACGCAACCCAATTAGATGTTACATTAATTAATGTAATACTAACCTGTAATTACATTGTTTTCATCATCCATTGATTTAACTGGTAAATAAATTGGATCAGCATAACTGTCATCCATTTGTTGATCAATTTCGGTGTCAACATTAAAAAAAGTATTCTCTTTTAACACTACACTTGTTATTGCCGCCATCACCAATGTTGAAAAGCCAAAGAACACCAAAAGAATGCAGGGTTAGCACTGTTTTGTTTTGAAACAGAAGAAAAAAACACTGTTGGTCAAGAAAAAGAATATATCGCCTAGAGATTTCTAGCGGGTGTAGAGATAACTAAATGCAACAGTTCACTCTAAAAGCAATAGACAGCGCAGTCAGTCTGGTTTAGACGAAAGTAAGGTTTAACACCATCTTCCGCTGTCATAATCTAGTACAGACGTGGCTCGCAATTTATCATTTTCAAAATTCGATGCCAAGGAATGTTGTATGTTTCTTCGTCTTCTTTTTCTTCTTCACCTCATGTTGTACGGCCTGTGGCGGAGTGGTTACACGACAGTAACATCCCTGTAATAGACTGGCCTGCACAGGTTTCTGATTTGAATCCCATCGAACACCTTCGGGATATTTTGGAACGCCGACTTCGTGCCAATCCTTACCGACCAACATCGATACATCTTCTCAGTGCAAAACTCCGAGAAGAATGGGCAGCCATTCCCCAAGAAACCTCCCATCACCTGATTGAAAGTATGCCTGCGAGTGTGGAAGCTGACATCAAGGCTAAGGGTGGGCCAACTACCTATTGAATTCCAGCATTACCGATGAAGGGCGCCACGAACTGGTAAGTCATTTTCAGTCAGGTATCCGGATACTTTTGATCAAAAATGCATTTCCAAATTGTCCCATGAAAATGCTTCCGTAGCATCAGAAAAACTTCAAGAATACCTCACTGATGCAGGAATGGTTCAAAAGTGACGTCTAAAAACAAACGAAAGCAAATCTCTCCACGCGACCTTTGCACTTTGACCAATTGAAGTTCAAATCAATAACAAGGAAATAACACAGACAGATTGCGTAAAATACCTAGGACTACATCTTGATAAAAAAATGACCTGGAAGACACATATCAAAAAGTAAAGAAAAGCACTCCAAACCAAAATGAAGCAAAACTATTGGCTTCTAGGCAAAAATTTGCATCTTTCATTGGTTAATAAACTTTATTTATACATCAATATTGAAACCTCCTTGAACCTACGGAATACAACTTTGGAGTACTGAGACCAACTCAAACCTAGAAATACTGCAGCGATTTCAATAAAAATCTTTAAAATTGCTTGCCAATGTCCTGTAGTTTGTTTCAAATAAAACATTGCACAATTACTTCATTGTACCTATAATTGTACAATAAGTCCAATTCAGTTGACATAAATATTACAAACGTCTAGAAAATCATCCAAATTACCTAGCGTTACAAGACAATAGCCAAAATTTAAGAAGATTGTGCAGATTTCATCCTCTGGATCTCTTAAATAGATTCAATCATTAAATGCAAGATGTATAACCGTACCAGAAAATTATCATATTTGTCTTGTGATACTACATTAATAGCGAATACTTTTTATATGTGTTACTACAGAAAATGAATGACCAGTTCCTTCATATGCCATTGCAAAACTTTGCGAAAGATGTGCCTATTGTTACGATGTAACAGATTTCAAATAAAAATAAATAAAATTAAAAATATCTTACGCTGCCCCCTTCAATTTTCCCCTCAAAAAACTGCTATAAATTTGTTTTCTAAATGTTTTCCTCAGTAATATCAAATATGCTTAAAATGTGACGCATGTCTCATTTTCGTTGGTCTCTGAATTTTCGAAAATTGCAAAAATTACGTATAATGCGAGAATGTACCTACACGCTCTTGCAGCACCGCTTGTTTTCAATGTCATGCTCTAATCGAATTTCTACTGTAACGCACACCACTTGCGTAGAATAGAGAAGGTTATATACAGTTGCATCGAAAAGCAGATATTTTGACGACAAAAGATATTGTAGGTTCTTGTTATCGGAAAATGGACAATTCTTCTTCCTATGTGTGATAAGTGACCTTCTCAACCCGAAGTCAGAATCCAGTTCTTCGTTGATTCGTTACACCGAAAACTTGGTTTAAGGGATAACCCCTGCCTGCGAACGCTAGCAGCTAAACCATAGATAAGATTTGCACCAAAATTGATATTCCCCGATCGATCTAACTGATGTCGTGGGCCCGTGAATTTCAAACAAATATTTTAAGATACATCAGACGATGTAAGTGTTCTAGCCTAGCAAAATGTAATAGTTTTTCTTTTTTCAATTATATTAATTTTATTAGCTTTTGCCCGATCACAAAGTTTATTTAAATCGTCCTGTAGTTGTATTATAACGTGCTGTTCTGCAATTTCCCTATATAATATACAGTCATCTGTGAAGAGTGGAATTTTTGACGTTATATTTCGCGACTTGTAAATTATTGACGATGATAAGAAACAACAGAAGGCTTATGACACTGCCCTGAGGGAATCCAGAAGTAAGCTTACCCTTCTCAGATAAATTCTGTCCACTTTGAACGTTTTGTGTTATGACGCGAAGAAACACTTTTATCCTTGCTATTACCATCCTATGAAATTTAGCATAGATGAGTGCTAATGTCAGTATTCAGAACTACATCAAACGCTTTAGCTATATCAATTATGGCGTCCATTCTTCCTTATTAATCAATTACTACAGACAAGTCTTGCGTAAGAGAAAACATCTGTCTCACAAAAAAGCCATTGCTGAAGCCGTGCAGCTCATGAAAAAAAACAATGTATCTTTAATCTAAATTATTGTTAATAATAAACAGGGCTGTCGTAAGACTAACTGCTACAATTTTGCATTTGATGGTCTTTATCATGCATATTGTTATCTAGTAATATTACCCCAAGGTCTGAAGTATTTCACCACGAACATCATTTGCATTAAAATGGTGAAATTTTTTTAAAGCCTATTATTATAATTATTATTATTATTATTATTATTATTATTATTATTGAAAAATGCAAATTCCCAAAATAAAACAAATTCATTATAATACATTTTTATTATAAAAGTATATCTTCATCAATAGCAAATATTGTGTTGTTTTTTTTAATTTGTTCTTTCGGCATTAACAGAAAGATTATGCGCGTGTTCGACATCCGGAAAGCACGCAACCCAACTTTGTTTCATTAGAGTTGACTTCTTTCAACAGTGATGAAGGAAAAATCCATCATTTACTCTCTCTGTCTTCCAAGATACTGATTTGCGCACGTGACTGTGATAGTGAAATTGGTAGCACTGTTTCAATCATAGTTTTCATAATCTTAAGTTAACTGCCTGTAATGTTATTTGCTTTAAACCAGAATTAAGTTACGTATTTTAAAATAAGTATAAAGAATTAACAATGTTAAGAAAAATAAAATCGTTTAGGAAAGAGCCCTGAATTACATATCACTGACTCAAGATAACGCGTTTATTTGTAAAACGTATCGACTTGCTGTGACCTCAACCTATAGCACTGAGATGAAACGACTAGTATTCCAGTGAAGGCCAGTGACCTGGGTGTCGCTCACTAGACTGAAGCGAACCTTACTTCAACATCTGTTTTTCTGGTCACACAAAAGACATGCATGCTTATCTGCAGGATCAACTTTGTGATCACTAGTTCCTAGTGAGTTCGCTTGAACTGTTCAACATTACAGGCAGAAGAATAGAAAAGGTAAGTTAGTGAAAAAAAATGCATTTTTGAACCCATTCGGTGATATGATTTGATTTGATTTGATTTTAGTCAAAGAACAGTGAAAACGTTATGTGACGTATAGGGGAGAAGTACTATGCGCACGTTTTCCCGAGCTCCAGTTTTTCTTCCCAACATTTTAACTATAAAAAATTGAAATATGAACCAAAGTTAAAATAATAATAATAATAATAATAACAATGATAATAACAATGATAATAATAATAATAATAATAATAATAATAATAATAATAATAATAATAATAATAATAATAATATAAAAATAGCACGAGATTAGCAACATTGAGACCAATGCTAGACATTTACGTTCGCGAGTTTTAGAAAATTTATTTGCATCGGTAAGGCTTTGTGCATTGCTAGCAAATTGTAACACACCCCCAACTCTACTCCTACCACTACTAGCAACAAGAGAGCTCAACAAAACGTGCGCATAGTGAAGCTACATGTATGTCAAGAAGCAAAACAATGGGGCATCTCAGCATTTGCCGAATGGTTCAGGGAACTGGACAATAACTTGATCGAGATAGGCGGTGATTGAAGGTGAGACATCCTGAAGGAGAAACACATTGTGAAAATATTACTGAAAAAATAAAAAAGAAATTTAGAACGGTTACGCGTAACAATGTATAAGCACATTAAAAAACCTAAGATTTGCGATTGTGAAGACTGGCGTTGATTTTTAAGATATCATTATTTGTATTTTTTCTATCAAAGTTTTTGAACGGTACATTACTAATAGAATTATTTATAATACGGTACGTTTCTGAGTTAACCCCTGGAAATGACCTCGTAATATTGTTACCTTCGCTGTGAAAATGTCTGAGTTTTCAATCAAACAAAAATGTTTTGTATTAAAAACTGATGTTTAAGAAGATTAGGAGATGATTAAGGAGGGGGTAGCGAGCCCCTTAGAATAACGTTAGTGGATTGGACATTTTTTATTTATATTTTCGAATACAAGATATCTAGTTACTATAATATTCATCATTAATACCAAACCATACATCTGGTAATTGTAATGTATCTTCGAAACGTATTTAATCATATATACACTTTCAAGAAATACATTTTATTGATTTGATTCCCGATTATTATCGTAAAAGTAACTTCATCTAAACTTTAATCACAGAATTTGCTGCAGCTCATTTGCCGTTGCAAATAGTTATTAAACGGAAGAGAACGTCTTAACAAAATTTGCCTCGAATTTGAGACAATTGTTCGTCGTTACCTGTGTTTATAATTCAACTTAATATATTATAAGAGGTAGGTACGGCAGAGCTCCAGAAATCGTACACTCATTGTACTTTCTTCTACCAAGAATGTCACACATATTTTTAGTTTAAATGAAGATCACTTTAAAAATATTACATTAAAAATAACCTTTGTGTCGGGTTCTACATGACAATATATTCAATCGAACTATCAAATGTATAGGGCGTATATAAAATATATTGGAATGTATAACTATCCAGTATATTTATTCCTAAACAAATCATGCTTTCAGCTGCGAGAGCGAGAATATGTATGTCAATGAGATTTTGAACAAATTTGTGATGAAATTTATCTTCAAACGTGCGTCTTTCTTCTATTATCAAATGATAGTGTACTTCTTAAACATTGTTTTAAAGATTGTATAAACGTTTTGAAACAGTTGCGTTCCTCATTTTTTGAAATCGTTCCGCACACATCATTTCTCGCAAACTTTATTGTGCTTGTGAGAAAAAAATTAGGAATCTGAAAATGTATTATTACCGCTACTGACCATCAAAATATCTAAAATTTAGGTGCAATTAAATTCATTGCATCTAATAAATTTGAACAATAATTATTTTTATTCATTATCAGAACAGTGTCAGACTCACACGCAATACTTCAATAAATACTGATGTAATAGAATCGGCTACAAAACTGAAAATGTCAAGTCCAGCTGACCCTCAAATACTACTAGCTACGATAATTCGTGTTATGCTAGTGATTCATATTTGAGGGACATTATCTCGAATTCTGAGCTGTGGTGGAGGAAGGAGGCGGGAAGCGCAGAGTATGTCATTCCAGTCGTCCTAAAAGCATGTAATAGTAGCATTTTCGTTCTTCAAATTGATGGCAAAAAATTATTTGACAAATTCGAAAGTCAGGAAGTTACGTAAGGAGTTAAATTTTACATACTACATTTCAATAGGCATAATGACAGTAGGCGAATAAAATACTTTATATATTTTTATAGAATGCTTTAAATTTTGTATTTCATTATATTTATTGAATATAATTTGAGTAAAGGAATGCTGCAACTTATTTTTGTTTAAGTGTGATGTTTGGTTAAGTGGTCAAATATCATGGAATTGAAATGAAGCTTTGTGAGGGAGAACAAGATCTTTTAGGTCATTCATATCAGTAAAAGAAATTTCGATCTCTAAGAAGCTTACATAACATGTCATACTGGCATTCTCAACCGCTACTTACCTGTACTAGTTGTACAGGCGCGTCGTCATACGAATTCTTCATCAAAAACCTTATTTAATACGCCGTACGCGAAAAACTGTTTCTCGTTTCTGTGTGCAAAATACCTAATTTTTTCACAGTGTGCACAGTCTGTAACGATTCGCAATTGTCTTTCATCTTGACGTGTTTATTATTTACAAACAATAGTGTTACAACACTGACTGGAATCCATTTACTTTTGTACAAGAAAGGTACATCTAGTTATTTGATATTAAACTTGCATTTCTTTACATTACGCACTGCGTTTTGCTCACGGCGTTTTAAAAATATGTACACTCTTGGAAACATAAAGTTTCGCGTCGAAAATGCCTTCACGCGATAGGTTGATGG